CTCGGTGACCAGCTGCTGGTGGCTCAGCGTCTTCCTCATCTTCATGATGCGCACGATGGCGGCCTGCGCCCGGGAGGGGCGGTGGATGGGATGGGGGGCGGGGATGAGACAGAGTGCCTGGGTGAGAGGGAACGTGGGGGGGGGGCAGCTCGGGGGTGGGGGGGGGGGGCAACGTTGGGCTCAGGGGAGGAAACATTGAGCTGGAATCGGCGATACACATCGCCGACAGGTTGGCGAGAAGCCCTCGATAGCGAATGCGCACGGCCCTGGGCGGGGTGGGGCTGCTGGGCCAATATAGGGCATCAACGGGCGACCGGGGGTCGATGCATCCTCCCCTGAGCCAATGCCCCCCAAACTTGGCGGCGCGCACACGGGGGTAGGGGCAGGGGGGAAGGCTTCTCGGAAGCGCCCACGCTTCTTTTGAGGCGCGGGCCTTGTCTACGGGGCGGGGGGGTGGAGGCAACGTCGGGCTGCCCGCGGGCCGGCGAGGGGAAGGGCGAGGGGGACAGGGACCGGGGCGCCGCGGGAGCCGGGCAGGCACGCGGGGAGGGGAGGGGCAGGAGGGCGGGAGGGGGAGGGGCAGGGCGAGGGGGACGAGGGCGGCCGCCCACCACTCGCAGGGGCGCAGAGGCGGCGTCCCCAGGGTCGCCTCGCTGCGCGCCTCGCGTCCCCCGCGAGGCGCGGCGCGCGGTGATCTTCGTGCCGTCGCGAGGCCACCTCGGAGAGACCGAGCCCCGGCCGCGCCGCGCGCAGCGCGATTCTCTCAGCGCCCCTGGCGGTGGCCCAGGGTGCAGCACTCTTGAGCGGCGGCGCGCTGGCTCCAGCATGAGGCCAGCGAGCGACGGGGTGCGACGGGTGCCAGTGGGGCCCGCGGGAGGGGGAGGGCGGGAGGGCGGGAGGAGGGGGGGGCCGCGGGACGTCCAGAGCACACTCAGAACGTGAGGATATTCGTAAGGTGCCGGAGCCAGGCTCCTCACGTACTCGACGCTGCCGGAGCGGGCGCAGTAGACCGATACGGAAAGAAGCCTTGCTGCCAGAAGATGTTGGGGCGCCTTGTTCGTCGGTCTTTGAAGGCGCTAAGGTGCCCCAGTGCTTTGTGCGTCCCTGCGGCGGCCATCGGCGGATTGCAGAAGCAGGAGCGGGAGGAGCGAGGGAGCGAAAGGACCCGGGGAAGGCGGGGGAGGGGAAAGGAAGTAGGCGACAACGACGAGGAAGCACTCTGATCCAGAAAGGTGGCCTGGGCTGGGGCGAGGGGTGTACCCAAACGGGGGTGGCCTGGGCTGGGGCGAGGGGTGTGCCTCTGCGGCCCAGATGGCGCTCCCTATGGGGCCACGAGACGTGTGAGGGTTGTGCCGACACGGGGGCGACGACCACATGCGGACGGAACCTGTGGGGCTTCACGTAGAGCCCCATATGAAGCCACGAAACGTGCGAGGGGTGTGCCGAAACGGTGGCGACGCTCAGATGTGGACGGTGTCTTTGGGGCCTCAGGTGGAGCTCCCTATGGGGCGACGAAGCGTGAGGAGTGTGCCGAAAGGGGGGAGGCGGCCACATGCGACGGTTCCACTGGGGCCTCAGGTTAAATTTGTATGGGGCCACGAAACGCGTAAAGGATGTGCCGAGACGGTGGTGACGCTCACACGCGAACCTTGCAACTGGGGCCTCAAGTGGAGCTCCCCGTGGGGCCACAAAACGTGTGAGGGATATGTCACTGGGGGCTTACGTGGACCTTGCCACTGGGGGCTTACGTGGAGCTCCCGATGGGGCCACGAAGCAAGGAAAAGGCGTGCCGAAGCGGTAGCGACGCCCACACACGAACCCTGCCTCTGGGGCCTCAGGCAGAGTTCCCTATGGGCCACGAAACGTATGATGGGTGTGCGGAAAAGGGGGCCCCAGCTGAAAGCTACCCCCCCTCTCTTGGAACAGGGGAGTGGGTTCGAAACTCTAAAGGGGGAGGGGGTCCGAGCTCCCCCCCCCCTTCGCTTCCAAAGCCCTAGGTCAGCTCAGGTTCTCCTATCAAGGGGTGGTGGAGAAGTTTCCGAAGCTACCCCCCCCCTTTGATTGGATGTTGTAGCTGACGGGTCCCTGCCTACAGGGGGGGGGCTTGGGATCTACCCCCTCCCTTTCCTTCCCTTTCGGGGTTCAGGGTTCTCCCGCGTTCCCCTTTTCCAGGGAGGGGGTCCGAAACTACCCCCCACTCCCTCGCCTTTCCCTGCTTTTCCAACTGGATGGCCTTTGGCGCACCGTTGGTTTTCGGCGCCGCTTTGGTTTTCGGCGCTCCTTTGGTCTTCGGCGTTCCTGTGGTTTTCGGCGTCACGGACGACCCCCGACGGGCCCGCCCATCTTTCTCCCTCGTGGGATCCCCGCCCGCGCGTCACTTGCACTGGGCGCTGCCGGCTCCCAAGCTGTGATGCCGTGCGCCAGCCTCGAGATGGCGTTCGTTTCTCCACCAGTTGCCTTAGGTCGGGCGTGTCCCCCCATAGGGGAACGTTCAACGAATTTCTTCTAAAAAATAAGCCCCAAAATACCCCAAAAGGGTCAAACATATTCAAAAAAATGTACCCTGACTATTTTTTGATTATGTTTTGACTGTGTTGGTGGTCTTTGTTATTTTTCGTCCAAAACCCACCTGTAGGGGACAGGCCCGACTTAACACCATTTGCCCCCGCTGCCGCCCCCGCGGCTCGCCACCGGCCGTCCAGCGACCACGCCACTGGCTGGCCCGCTGCTCTCCGCCTGGGGCGCTGCGCCGGCCGCTACGCGCCGCTGGCCCGCCCCCAGCACTTGCGCTGCTTCCTCACGTGCGGCCGTCTGCTGCCCGCCCCCCCGCTTGCTAGGCCTCGCCTGCACTGCGGCCGCTGGCCCACTCCGCGATGCCGCCCCGCGACGGCCCTGGACTGCGATGCCCCGCGACGCCCCGCGATGCCGCCTGCACTGCGGCCGCTGGCCCCGCCCCTGGGTGCATCGCGATGCCGCCCCGCGACGGCTGCCAGGAGCTGCCCTTCAGCCCGGCCGCCCCCGCCCGCTCGTCGCAGCCCTGCTGCGCGAGTGTCCCCCGCGCCCGGCCGCCACCCTCGCCTTCTTCCCCCCTCGTAAGTGCGGGTAATTCGCGATGCCGTGCCCCAGTCTCACCCGGACGCGCGTGCGGATTGCCTCTGCCGCGCTGCGACGTAAAAAGGTGTCTGGCGCTCCTGTCATTCTCGGCGCCCGTTATGGTTTTCTGCGCACCGTTTGGTTTTCGGCACATCGTTGGTTTTCGGCGCCCTCTTGGGTTCTGGCGCCACTTTGGTGTTCGGTGCTCTCTTGGTTGTCGGCGCCTTTTGGGTCTTCGGCGCCCCTTTAGTTTTCGGCGTTGTTTTGGTTTTCGGCGCTGCTTGGTTCTCGGTTTCTTTTTGGTTTTCGGCGCCCTTCGACTTTCGGCGCGCTTTCTGCTTTCAGTGGCCCTTTGGCTTCTCGGCGCCCTGTCGGTTGTGGGCGCATCGTTGGTTTTCGGCGCCCCGCTAGTTTTCGGAGCCTTTTGCGGTTTTCGGCGCCCCTGTGGTTTTTGGCGCCCTCTTTGTTTTCGGCGCCCTGTCCGTCTTCGGAGCTTCTGTTGTTTTCGGCGCTCCTTTGGTTTTCGGCGCCCTTTTGGTCGTCGGCGCCCCTCCCTTTGGCGCCCTTTGGGTGTCGGCGCATCAGTGGTTTTCGGCGCCCCTTCGGTTTTCGGCGCTCGTTCTGGTTTTCGGCGCCCCCTGGGTGTTCGGCGCCCCTTTGGTTTGCGGCACGCCCCCTGGGTGTTCGGCGCCCCTTTGGTCTGCGGCATCCTCTTGGTTTTCGGCGTCCCTTCGGTCTTCGGCGCTCGTTTTGGTTTTCGGCGCCATTTTGGTCTTCGACGCTTCTTCCTTTAGCTAAAACCAAGGAGGGGGACTTCCAGGCTCCCTCCCTAAGCCAAAAAGGGGGAAGGGGGGGAGGTTTCCTGCATGGGAGGTTCAAGGAAAGGGGGGGCACCTAAGCCCGTCCCCGTCTTTGGAAACGGGGGGAAAGCGGGGGTAGCTTCTGGAGCGCGAAAAGGGAGGGGGGCTGGCTTCCCAAGGGGTGGAAAAAAGGGGGGAGGGACTTCCGGCGGGGGAGGTCTGGTGGGAGGAGCTGAGCCCCCTCCCTTGGAAAGGGAGGAGGGGAGCTTCCGGAGCGCGAAAGGGGACGGGCGGGAAAAAAGGAGGGGACTTCCAACAGAAGAGGTCGATTCCACCCCCTTCGGGCGTGCACCACGGGCGCGCTCTATCCCACCTGCGGACCTGCACCGAAATTGGTAGCCGAGGGCCGATGATGGTGAGGATGAACATGACGTTGATGGGTGACGGCTACGGGACGGTAGCCGCGGAGGAGGTGGTGATCGAGATGATGATGACGATGATGAGGACGATGATGATGACCATGATGATGATGATGATGATGATGATGATGATGATGATGATGATGATGATGATGATGATGATGATGATGATGACGATGGTGATGATGCTGATGATGATGATGATGATGATGCTGATGATGATGAGGACGATGCTGATGACCATAATGATGATGATTTTTCGCGGGGAGGGGTGGGGGCGCCGCTCCAACACACAACAAGATAGCCGCATGGGGTGGGCTAGCCCCGCCACGAACGCGAAGGACAGGAAATATACATTCAGCCCCCAACCAATGGGAATGCGAAAATATTTCAATCGACTTCCACCAATGCAGGACGGTGGTCATGTTTGAAGAAATACATGGAGAAACCCACCACTGCAGACAAGCGGGCATACTTGAACATAGACCGAGACCCCATCAAAGCACAAGAGCGACACGGTCTGAAATAGATCAGAGACCCCCACCACTGCAGGTAGATGCAGATGTTCGAAATCACCCGCAAAATCCCGACTAGAGCAGAAGAGTGAACTACCCAAGCAATGGGCGCCTTCGATTATACGGCAGGTTCGTGTCGCGACGACCCCGGCGTTGGTCTCTGACATCGCGTGGATCGGTCAACCTTGAATGATCGGCGGCTTTTCGACCGCCCGATCGTTCCATCTAGGCCGAGT